CTGTCTCTTATACACATCTAGATGTGTATAAGAGACAGGGGGAGTAGAGCGCATCGTTAAAGCTAGCGACACAGAAACAATGCGTGATAACCAAAAGGGGAAAAAAAAAAAAAAAAAAACACAGCGAGAACAACGACAATTTTTCGGACTTGGTGCTAGCTACATCATGGTCATCAAAAGTCAAACCTTCTCTCACAGTCAAACCTTCTCTCAAAGTCAAGCTTCTTACGACTGATTGCTGTTGGACATCACTACAATACTCACCAAATGCGTGACAGATGGCGAATGCATCCTCAGCTGGAACGTGGACAGGTACACTCACTCGGCATTTTTTGTGGTCTTTGACACATTTGGAGAGCGTTAATGCTACCGTCTTCACGCGAACAGAACGCCCGGTCATTATACCTGCATTTGGCAGAACTTTCAGTCCAGATGCAGCTATAATTACCGGGCGTTTTATTCGGGTGAAGACGGTAGGGGCATTACATCAGCAAGCTCGCTGCCGGTCGCCACGTGGCAGAATCGTGCGTCCTAAGTTGCGCAAAAAAGCTTTGTCCATGTCACTCGAGTTGTCCTCCTCACCGACGACATTATCTTGACTACGGACTCGACGAGAACGAAGACCAACAACGCCCGCCCGTTGCAGGATGACACGAGGGTATATTTTATTTGTTTTCAACCTATTGCGTTAGCTATACATGTATCCTTATACATACTCAGACAAGGAATTTCTTGGATGAATCTGGGCGTAATTCCGAACAGATCTAGTCGAAAAAATACTTAACCGTGCGAATATATACCCTAAAGTATGGCAAGAGGGTGCACAGATGTCTTAACCCTGAAACTTTTTTCCCCATCTCGCCAGCCGCCGATACACAAGTCGCAGGACGGTGCCAGACACACATCACACTCTCCAAACCGAATTAAAAAATAAGAAGTCGAGGCCATTCATTCCACACACACACGTTGCCGCATCGTTCGGCACGTGCCTGAGGAAATCAAATACGGGCACGTGGCAGGAGAGAGAGGCTCGACAATCAGAAGCCCAGCTAAACACACCTACGGCTGGCACTGACAGGGAGCGCAAGAGGAAGGAAGAGCCGCAAGAGATGGAACGATAAAAACAAGAAGAAAAGGGGGGAAGCCCGGGAAAAGGGGGGGGGGGGGGGGGGGGGGAGGGGAAGGAAAAGGTAAATGACAGATAGGGAGCCAGAGAGACACAAGGCCGACTAAAATACACCCACAGCACACAGACGGAGTAGAAAGATGAATGAAACAACAGACACGAACACACACACACACACACACACGCACAGACAGGCGCTGAAACAGACACGTGTCGGCACAGGATGCCGACACGTGTCAGGAGCGGCCAAAAACGATAAAAAACAAAGGAAAAGAAACGTACTGGTGGATAGAAAAAGGAATCGAGGAAAAGGAGGAGAAACATTACAAACACCGAAGAGGAATCTGAACATCTTTGTGGAGAGGTGCAGAGATACCAAACTCGACGCAATCAAGGTGCTCAACGAAACATAGGAGGGTACGGTAGGTCTGGGGCGAGGTCCCACCACCGAAGAGGAATCTGAACATCTTTGTGGAGAGGTGCAGAGA